AATGCCGAGGTTTGTTAATGTACGGAGGAGAAGACTCGTAAATACCCTTTTACATGTGTGTAAAAGCGAGAATGCAATTATTGCGCCGTATTATTTGCGCCGAAATAGCGGCAAGGAAAAGATGGATGAATGGGAAGTGATTATTGTCTCTCCGTGTTTCTCGGCGATTATTTTTGTTTCGAAATTACTTGGCATCGTTATTCGCAGATTCCGCGACGTCGATGAACGCTGCGGAACTTGCGCGGTTGTTTCCGCTCAACGATATCAAAGTCATTGTTTGCGACACGTCCGTCTCATGAAATGCACGGAATAAGCCATCTTTTGTCTCATCATCACGGCTCCGACAATAGCGGCAGCGATACCAGAAGCTCCATCTCCTCCGTGTCGTCGGACATTCGGAATCACGACACGAGGTTTCTACAGGAGCTGTTGAGCCAGAAACACGATAGCAAGCTCTACTTCCACGAGCGACACGTATCCCGGGGCTCGGTCAGTTCCGCGTACTCGTACCCTTCCTCGTCCTACGGCTCATCTTACGGCTCCGGCTCCGGCTCCGGCTCCGGCTCCGGCTCGTCTAATCATCATCAGCTCTTGTACAACACGATTCACGGTAACAGCCATTATCCTTCTCATCATCAATATCACCATCACCAGCAACATCATCATCGGGCAGCGAGCAGCGGTAAAGCGTCACCTTCGTCACCTAGTCCGACCAACGAACACGAGAAACAACATCACCATTATCACAGCATACATGAGATGATACGGCATTTCGGTAGAAGATTGGGACACATCAGACGGCAAAGCGAGTGTCACGAGAGTCCCAAGAAACGGGAAGAAGATTTCAGGAACAGAAGTCAGAGTTTGGACGGCGGCGCCAGGCATTCCGCCAGTCTGCGAGAGGCCGATTGCGAGACTACCTACAGGATTTATGAAAGCATACTCAGGCAAGGTAACTCACGCGAGCGAACGTGAGACGTGAGCTGATCCCCTGACGAATGCATCATCGTATCGGTCTTGTTAAATTCTCAATGAAACGCGTCATTTTTTCTATCCGATAATACGTGTACGTGTATGTCTACGATAAATAGTAATCATTTTACCTCGTACATTACCATGCACATTAGTGTGAGGCTTATATAAAACTATTTATCGAAGATATATTTTGTGTGATAATACTTTATTATTAATGCAGAATCTGTCGTAGTTTCTATTATAACTGTATAATCACAATTCGGAAAAAACTCGGAAAAAAGGGGGAGAATGATTTGATATTTTTTTTATCAATGTTATATTGAAATGGATTTGTTAATTTGTGTATAGCTAAGCGTGTGTAGAAAAGTGTTAAAAGAAAAGAAATATGAATACGATAATGACGATCGTGTGTCTCTCTTTGCCAAACTCATTTGCTCTACTATTTCGGTTTTCCGGCTGCCTTTCATTGCGCAATATGTTTTTGTACCAACTACAAACGCGTGTGGAAATTCTCTTGCGTATCGCTAAATTGACCATTCGTACAATATTGTTCCGTTACATATGTGCTCTTGTCAAAATGCCAATTTATACCCATATACGAATATTGTAAAAGCGTCTGAGGGATGCGAAATAACGAAATATATACAGGAGGGGGAGGGGGGAGGATAATGCATGAATAAATATTTAGTAAAATAATTACTGATTTTAATACTCGCGACAATGTGTTAGTATCTTTTATCAGTGTAAAAATATCATTAAAGTCTTAATCTTTCTGTTATGAGGAAATTTATGGGGAATTTCTTTTTTTCTACATCTTTATATCTTCAAATATTAACAGTAAGATATATTCGATGCAAATATATAAAAATACATCTTTTCTCTTTATCATGTTTCTATTTATCTAGGTTTTATTTCAATCTTTCGAATGATTCTATTTCTGATTCATCTCGCACTTGTTTTATAAAACTCGATAATTACGTATTGATGCATGGAAACATGCCTTGACCCGATTATGTTGTTATCATTATAGTTTTTCCTAATGTGACGAGTATGTAAAGATTCATTATCTCATTTCTTACGCATATTCATAAAAAATGGAGCATTTATTAAAAATAAATCGTAAACAAATTATCGTAATAATTTGAATCAAATCAAGGTAACGAAATAGAAATAAAAAACAACATTTGCATGCGCACGCTTTCTATCACAATTTATCACATCCTATTCTCTAAGACTGTTTTTACTATACGCCGTTTTCGAGAAAACTCGAAAATTTGTGTTTTAATTGGATTAACTTTCAAACAATATATTATCTCTTCGTATTTGCCGAAACAATTGGCAATTTTGTAATTAGCTAACATTTGTTTCACTCTTATTATACGGGCATATAACGCAAAGCGCGCGCTCATGAAATAAACACCGCCGATAAAGCGGGATATCGCTTGAACGTCTCACGCTGAGGAAGCGGATTTAATCGTAGAAACGTGCGCAAACGGCCTTCGTTGAGAGAAAAACAAAATTCCAAGACCCCGGCCCTCGGCACCCGGCACCCGGTCCGCGATCGAAGCATTTCTCGTGGGCAGTAGCTATGATATATCATCTATTTCACAATGGATAATAGTAATGTGCTATCGAAAATCCTTGATGAATGGCGCCGAACATTTATTAAAAATAAACAAACAAAATATTTGCTTTAACAATCTTTCCAGTGGCAAATGTGTAGAACAAAAATCCAAGTCTGCACTGCGAGTGCGATTATAAGTGAATGTATTATTGAACGAAAACAAGTATTATCTTGCAATATTTTTTTGACAAACATTTATTATATAACATAGTAACATTTTCTACAAAATATCCAGACTGTCATTTATATGAGTGACAATCATAATTTTTTATAATACATTATTTGTGTGGCATACTATGCTATAATACATTTGCATATATATATTATAAATAAGTACTTTATTATATGTATAATTTTTTTATGACATATGATTTTACAAAAGCAACTTATAATTCAATTTATTGAATAAATTGTACGAATTTTGAAAGTAAAAGTAAATAGTTTATTTTTGATCATATTTTTTTATGCATATGATAAGAATGTAAATAACACAAGTCACATTTTACGTAATTCGCGGTGACAAAAATTTTGCGCGTCTGTTCATGAATTGTGTAATATTACATAGGCTATTTAGAGCGAAACATAGGAGAATTGGATTAATTGCAAGCGTTATGACAGTTGATGATAATAAAACACATATGATATAATCGATCAAAGTCGATCGATGATATAAATACATGTGGTTAGTTTGATCATACTATGGAAAATCATTCTTATATCTAAATGTTGTTTTTTTCTTTTCTATAAATTATATACAAACATATGTATATGTATATATAATTTTTAGAAAATATTTTTATATAGCATATAATATATTATTATATTAGTTATTATAAATAATTGATATATATTA